ATGACATGTCTTGCTATAATACTCTGTACTCACAATTAATTCAAATATGGCCTCCAGAATTAAAGAATTTCGAGGACATAGGCAATAGATTAAGCTGACGTTTTTATTACTTAGTGCAAGCATCCCAGTAACCTCTAAAACTGTGGATTCCTCTTCTGCAAAATTATTTTAGAATCCATCGCTTAGCACTTATATGAGTATTTATTGGTAATTGTTTGAGCACAGTTATCTTATTTTAGGTGATTAAACTTTGAAAGCAACTGCTCCGAAATACAATACTTTGCTAGAGCATGATGTGTACGATGCATTTTTATTGGATTCTAGATAAGATGGCTGTTGTCTAGTTTGTTAGTAGGAGAATAGAGAAGCATGACTGCATGCAACTAAACATAAAGGAATGGATATAGAAATGCACAAAGCAGAGACATTGCTCACTTCTGGCTGATACTCAAACTCCAACTGATCGCCGTGTGCCAAAAGTCGAGCATCGATAAGTTCACCTCGACGAATGACGAATCCATTTGAGGCGCCAATACTTCTCATTGCCCCAGTATTACCAGCACCTCTGCCAGGGCTCGAACTAGATGAATACCTTCCGGCCGAGCCAGAAGACAATTTGCAATCTCCTAGGGGGAGGCATTCGACGCTAAGCGAGACCGCTATATTACCATAGCTGCGAGCCTTAAATTTTAGCGGAAAGAGAAAAGAAGCTGTACACTATCCATAGTTAGTTAAGAAAAAGTTGTTGCATGCTTAAGCTCAACATGGTAGGTGAATTTGAGGGAGTATAGACTACTAGGCAACTATAAAATTAAAAAAATATTAAGGTATTGTAGATAGATATGCTATAATAAATTGTTTTACCATAAGATTAAGAAGAGAGTTGCTCGAAATGTGCGAGACTTGAAAGGGTATGTACCAAAAAGATTAAAAAAATATGATGTACCAAAAAGGTCAAATAAATATGAGCCCAAAATTTTGGACTATATAATGCTCATAAATTATATTATTAAAAATTTAAATTAAATTGGGATATGGCCAATTTGCTCTCAAGCGAAGTGATTACACAACATAGTTTTATGCCGAAAGTAAGCCTTAAAATATTTGGACTTCGAAACGACGTAAGGATAGAACCAGGACTACTAGTTTACTTAAATAGCACAATTAATTGTTGAGCTTCCATTTCGAGTGAAAATGTTGTGTAAAGAGATTCGAAGGTCGCTTCCATCAGAAGACGACGGCGGATTCCTCTTGACTAGCTGTCGATTGGCTTTACTGGAAGATTCATGCTGATGCTGTTTCCGAGGCAATCTGCTTCGATTCCGGATATGACGGACGAAGGCTTAGCACCTTTTCACCGGAATCGAAGGAGATTGCCTCGGAAACAGCGTCAGCA